AGACTTGAGTCACCAGCTCTTGAACATGGCCCGCGAATCGGGCAATGTATTGGTTTTACTGTGGATTGCCTCAGGTTCGTAGACAATCTCTGGCATGCTGCAGCCAGGGCAGGCGAGGATAGATGTCTCCAATCTTTTTCTGTATGTAGCGGACCAGGGCCTAGAGCGTCAGTGAGTCAGCGTTGCGGAGAATCTAGTCGCCATCAGTGACATCATAAAACCTGGCCAGAGACTTTACTGGACCTGGGCCAAGATTGATCCCGTCGCTCGAAATGTGCGCAAAAATCATCCTCAGATCTTTAAGTTTCCTATTAGGTCCGTACAGCCCAGAATTGGTGGCCAAGTCAACATGCATCCTTTATTTTTCTATTTCTTTTTTATAATAGGCAGGTATGTGTCCTATCTGTATCTAATACTAAACCATATTGGAGTACTCAACATAACACTAAACCATTACCCGACACTTATTTAGCCATTACCCGACTTACCTCGGAATATTGCCAACAGCTCAATATATAGACTAAAGATAGCTATCCATTCTCGACCCAGACCCATTCCTGATAAGGAGATTGAGGGTATATCTTCTCGGTGATTCCCCGCCTCAATTGCCAAACCTTTATCTTCCTTTCCAACCCCTTTTTACCATTGATAGTTCTTAACGTATATCATGAGTCCTGCATCTTTCTGTGTCATTTTTGTGCCTGGTGCATGGCATCCAGCCTCGGTCTTCAAAGCAGTTGGCGACATCCTTGAACAGACCGGGTTCAATGTCGACTACGTCGACCTTCCTTCGGTCGGTGCAGATCCGCCCATTACCGATTTCGCCGCCGACGTCAAGGCCATCCAACAGGCTATATCGCAAGCTGCCTCTAAAGGCCAAAAGGTCATCCTCGTCGCTCACTCGTACGGTGGCATCCCTTCAGCGGAAGCCATCGGCGCTTTTGGTTCTGGCGGCGCCGTTGAGCACTTTGTCCTCTGCTGCTCATTCATCATCCCGAAAGACAAGTCACTTATCGCTGCCTTTGGGGGTCAAGACCTCCCGTGGTGGGATATTGCGGAGGACAAGCTTTCTGTCGAAGCATCGACTCCGGAGAAAATCTTCTATAATGACCTGTCTCCCGAACAAGTCGCGGCAGTCGTCCCGGCCCTCAAGCCACATAGCTACCAGGTTTTCCATACACCTCTTACGAACGAAGGGTGGCGACAAGTACCAACGACATATATTTACTGCTCTTTGGATGCTGCAATCCCTATTCATATCCAGAAAATAATGGTGGAGGAGACTGCAAAAGGTGTTGACATTAACACTGAAGAGATTAATGCTGGACATAGTCCTTTTATTAATATGCCTAATGAAGTTGCATCCTGCATCCAGAAGCTTCTAAAATAATCTATTTATATTTATGTTATTAGCTTTCTTTACATTACAGTAATCAAGCGTATTATCCTTCTACTTCTTAATATCTGGCCTATTTCATTCGTAAGTGGTGAGCTCTTCTTGTGCTTGATGCGAGCATTTTGAAGTACACCTAGCGATTCGGGGTGGTGAACGTAATCGTTGTCGTTGGCGAGACCTATTCTGCGACTGGAAGAGTGGTTTTAGATAAGAATTATGTACTGCTCGCTGATAAAGGAAACACAATCTTTATTCAGGATTCTTGGTTAATCGTAGCAAAGTCAAGAGGATGATAGTTACCCCATTAGTGCTTGCAAAAATACCCTCCAACATGGTCTTCATGTCCTTCTTGGCATTGGCGCCATCTCTATTGTTACCAGTCAATTCAGAAAATCTTCAGCAGAGAGCGATCCTAAAATTAGGACTGTCACGTCGTAGTGTGCTACAGGGTAGTGAACTACTTCTGACATGAATTTACCAGATAGAATCAGATTTTCATGTCACTTTTCTGACATCAGCTAGCCTTAATTGTAAGAAATACAGGTACCACTGCATTATTATCCTCCTACTTTATCCGAAAAGGCGCGATAGGTCAGAAGGCTCCAAATGAATAGAGTGCCAACACCCATTTTTGCATTTGCGGTTGTTAAGCTAGATGTTAACTTACTAAATTAACGATTTTGATTTTTTTTCTTTCTTAAAGGATGTAAATGATTAATAGAAAATTTCAATCTTGAAGACTTATTTAGTATTTTAAAGCTAATTAATTCTTGTATTTATTGATATGTTTCATTTATACTTGAACGCGGACTAACGATATCCCTGGGGACCTCCGCATTTCCCCAGCGACAGATCCCCACCATATTCGCTCTAGTCAAAGGAGTAATGTTGGCTGACTAACTTCCCCCGCGTTTCGAGTCTGCTCAACTTTGACTTGTTTTTTAGTAATGAGCCAGTCGCGAGAAGGACATATCGAGCCAACATGTCAAAACGGAATGGAAGTACTGCGACGCAAGAGTATGAGGGGAGTGTGGTACGTTGGCAGTGCAATTGATCTGCAGGGTGCATGGGCGCTGATCAGCAATAGCCTCCGCCAAAACGAGTGGCGATAACCTCCAATTCGGAGCATCCCGTGGCTCACATCTCGAGACATATCAGGGCATGCACAACATGTCGGAAGCACAAGGTACTATGACTTCCAGTGAGCCATAAAATCAAGTGACTGATTTATCTAGATCAAATGCTTTATGGACGATGCTGGACCACCATGTCGACGGTGTAAAGAGAAGAAGCTGAGCAACTGCGCCGTGAGCAAGAATTTGCAGACCATCATTGATGAAAAGACGGAGTATGCTTGAGGTCAATTTTGCTGAGATCCCGCTGACTGTACCAGGCTATCAGAAGCAATGCTATCGGATCTCGACCAGATGTACACAGCAGTGAAGGAGATGAGAAGTATAATGGGCTTACCAGAATTACCGCCATTACAAACATCGCGAATGAACAAGCGAAAGGATTCATCAGCACCGCCACCACAAGAGTCAACGACACTCCATCTGGAGGATAATTATGGCCCATCATGCGACAACTCGCCGAAACTCACGCCCGAAGATGATCGACTTCCTCACGCTCCTATTCACTCTCTCTACACCCTCACGAGAATGAGAGCACTTCGATCACCTGGAAGTGGGAATGAGAATCCAAGCCAAGCTATAAATGATTTTATCTCTCAAGGACAGATCTCACTGGCTGACGCTGAGCGGCTGTTTTGTGTTTATCGAGATCGTTTAGACGGATTCATCTATTCTATCGGATGCCCCTACAAAACCCTTGAGCAACTTCGCCGGAAGTCATCAATCTTATGCGCAGCTACACTGACAATTGCAGCGCTTCACGATCCCGCAGCCGATAAAGTATACGGTATCTGCAATTCTGAACTTCGTCGATTGACCGAAAAGTCGATGCTGCAACGACAAGGCGATAGGGACTACTTCCGAGCTCTCAGCATCACTTCATACTGGCTGAGCGATCTGTCCTGGACATTATCAGGCCATGCGATCAGACGTGCTGCAGAATGCAATATCCACAATAGTTACAGTCTCGCCATAAAGGATCAATCCGAAGAAGCCATGGACTCTGCGCGTATCTGGTCCATTCTTTACATCTGCGATCAACATCTTGCTATTCTATACGACAGACCGGCGATTATCCAGGACGACTGGCTGACGCAAGACTGGGAAGGCATTCTTAACTGTCCGCTGGCTACGGACCAAGATGAAAGACTCATGAGTCAGGTCGAATTGATGGGTATCTTGCGGAACATACGACGATTATTCGGCCCCGATAAAGGAGAGGAGATTCCTAGATTGTATCTGAGTCAGATTGGACACTATCATCGACAGCTGGATCAGTGGATCACGAAGTGGACGGACCGGCTCCCAGGTATGTCTCCAGCTTCATTCTTACACAGGGCTAACAAGATACAGAGGGTCATCCCAACATCGGAGCATTCCCACGAAAAGGCGCTCTCTTCCACTTCCATCTCGCCCAACTATACCTCTACTCCCACGTTTTTCGCGGCCAATCAAACCAAATACCCAGCCACTTCCTCGACACAGCCTCAATGGCAGTGACTTCAGCATCAGCCATCATCGACATCCTCCTCACCGACCCTGATCTCTCCACCAGCATCGTCGGGATACCATCATATCTTCTCTCCATGACAGCATTCGCAGCCATGTTCCTCGCCAAAGTGTCACATAAGTACGGGGATAACCTGTTCAGACGTGATCAAGCGTTGGATCAGATTACTCGACTGATCAGCCATTTTCGGTCTTTGTCCATGGGGAAGTGGCATTTGGCTAATCTTATGATCAGAGGACTGGAGACTGTGACGAGTCTTTTGACCTCACATGGAGTACAGGATAAAGTGCAGAATGCTATATCATCGATGATGCCTGCAAATGAGGCCACTCAAGGTCTTGAAGATGTCTACAATACTAATCCTGATATGTTCACCGGGATTGATGGGAACACGATGCCAACATGGGATACGACCTTTGGGCTATCACCCATCTTTGGCTTTGACCCTTCGTTTCTTGATGTCGATGGGTACATGCAGTCAATGGCTATCTTTCCAAACACAGAAGGATCTTGAAGGGGCATCTGAATGTTTAAATATGGAACAGATGTTACAATTCCCCAATTATTTCAGTATCTCACGACCTAATTTGGCCTCGTAAAATACTCTGAAATTTCAGCATTTTCCTTGACCCTCCGTAGACACTTGGGATACCTATGAATAGGTTGTGAGCTGGTATGAGAGAAGTGATTCCATCTATATTATAACTAATCTAGAACATCACACGTTCTCCTTATAGACTTTGGCTCTCACACTAATGCACTATTCATTCAGGCTTAGCAGCCTATTCACCCAAGGGCAAAAGAGGCCCGCGGCTTTTGTTGGACCCTCCATCAGTTCCCATTAATGAATCTGACCGCCTCTCCAAAAATGACCAAGAACTTCAAAGAGCCTTAAAAGTGCTCCTCGCCACAGAAGTTCTTATCCCCGCCAACTTCGTGATACCCAACAGAATTCTTCTGCTTAGCATACACGTCCTCGCTCCAGCCAGGCTTGAACGAGCCACATTTCCCGCTGATGTCACTGACAATAATATTCCAGACTCTGTCGCCGTAGCAAGTCTGGGGCGTACCCCAGACCCCAAAAGGAGGAGGTGAGTTGGCAATGGTGACATAGTTGCAGTAAAATACTGCTACGTTGCCTCTGACAGAGTAGATGTGGTGGCCGGACTGGACCTGACGACCATTGCCACATTGGTTGACCAAGTCACGGACTGCATCGTCCGTGGAACCACGGTCCATCTCCCTTGAATCCCCACAAGTGATGAATCGAAGTCCTGTGTCTTCTTGTCTTCGGTCAAGACCGGAAAGGTCGTCATTGGACGAGATTTGGTCTACCCGAGGCTCATTCTTGGGCTTATCGCCGCCGGCAAGCTGGGTGTGGTGGGCAATACCAGCTTCATCAATGAAAACTTCATAGGTACCTGGCTGAATGCCCTTTGGGATGGTGAAACCATCCTCGTTTGAGGCTCCGGGGACGGAGAACCGCTTTGAGAGCTGCGGTGTCGCGAGGGCAGTGACAGTGGAGGTATAGAAGGCCGTAGCCATAAGGATGGAGGAAGTATGCATAGTGGAGAGTATTAAGCAGGCGGGATGAAACGAAGGGGTAGCTGGTATAGAGGAGGACGAAGGAGAGCTTGATGAGGTTACTGCTGAGTTGAAGCTGGATGAGGAGCGGCTTGAGATAGGGAAAAGAGTCAAAGAAGTCCACCTTTATAGAAAAATGATAGCACCTCAGGAAGCCAAGATCACTCGCCATATCACGGTGAACCCTGTGATCTCGTCAAAAAAAGCCAGGTCCAGAGTCGTATGCCAGCCTTGGCATAACCGAGCCTGACTCATGATGAAATGAATCCACCTATAGGAGAAGCATAATAAGCCACAATCACCTACTTAGCCTTTTGACTCCCTTTTAATGTGTTCAGGTCAGAAGATGATGACTGGCTAGCTTGATCTACAATTTATTTCGTTAGAGGTCGTTCTTGCGGTGACAGGGCTTGGCTGTGGGGCTAGCTTCGTTTAGACATAATATTATACTTCTCAAATAGGTAGTTAGAGGTGAGGTTGTATTATACTAGTTCTTAAACAGATGTATTGCTGACTTAAAATCCACATTTTAAGGGCTGGGCGTGTTTCTTCTCGCTTTCCTTGGCCTAGTACCAGCCTTACCCATAAGTCTTAGCGGACAGACCAATGAAACAATTAGCTGGGCTTGAACCCCTGCTTTTGAGGGTTACATGAACCCGAGGGCCAGATGCATTTTATCGAGTATTTGGCGCCTGGCCAGGGCTTTTGTACTGGCTTATTATGTCATATCGAGCGATCTGACGAGAGGTGTATGTATGTCTGTCTTTTCGGGCCCAGTCAATGCCTAGTCAATGTGCTGATTTAAATTGGCGGTTGCTGTTTCCAATGCGTCCTGTCCAAATGATGGAAGCGAAATGATTCTCATTTATGCATTTATCCTAAGTCGTTTATTCAGCAATTATCTAAACCATGAGCCTACATGCCTTGAATATTCCTTGGCCGGTATTCGTTCTCCAAATACTCCAACTCCTCCTTCGTAAACTTTACGTTCAACGCCTCCACCGACTCTTTAATTCTCTTTTCAGAATTCAACCCCAAAATCGGATAGCATCCCTTCTGCAACACCCACGCCGTAGCAACAAGCGCCATACTTATCCCCTTATCAGCAGCAACTTTCTCAACCCTATTCACAATCTCCAAATTCGCATCCGCAAACCACGCTTCCGTCTTCTTATCACTTTGGCTCCTAATCGACTGATTCGCCTCATCATTCTTGCTCGACAGAGGCTTGGCGAGAAGACCACGTGCGATAGGACTCCAGGGAATGACGCCGACACCTGTGGCTTCACAAAAGGGGAGCATTTCTCGTTCCTCTTCGCGGTAGAGGAGGTTGTAAAAGGGTTGCATGGAGATGAAAGGGGTCCAGCCTTTCGATTCGGCGATGTATTGGAGACGGGCGAATTCCCAGGTGTACATTGATGAGGCGCCGATGTAGCGGACTTTGCCGGATTGCACGACGTCGTGAAGAGCGCGCATGATCTCTTCGGGGGGTGTTTCACGATCTAGACGGTGGATTTGAAGGACGTCTGTACCCTCAGCATGTCGCTTACTTTATCAAGTCAGACAGACTTACCAATGTAGTCGGTTCCAAGACGTTCAAGACACTTGTCGACGGCATGGAAAATATGCTTCCTACTCAACCCCATCTGATTCACAAGCGGCCCATCATTGATACTAGCAGGTCTTGTACCATCATCCATCACAGGATTAAAGATCTTTGATAAGATAACGACTTTTTGACGAGGAATGTTGAACTTCTTCAACGCCTTGCCAATGATGACCTCTGACTCGCCATTGGAGTACGTGTCAGCTGTATCCCAGGTGTTGATGCCCTGGTCGTAGGCAGCTTTGAGAAGCTTCAGGCCATCTTCCTCGTCGAGAACCCAGGGTGAGCCTTGCCATGAGCTTGAGCCAAAGGTCATGCAGCCGAGGATGACCTTTGAGATCTTGAGGCCTGTGTTGCCGAGTCTGTGCTGTTAGTAGAGGACTGGCTGGTGGTGGAGATGCTTACCTGACGTATTCCATTCTGAAGGCACTTGTAAGGATGGTACGAGATGTGATGTGACTATTGAACCGTCCTTTCTGTTATGTTTTTAAATGCCGCTTTTATGCCATTACTCTGTTGGAAATTTACTTACCCGGCTCGAGGCAACGGGTCATCTTCATGCCGATCTCGCCAACGCTGATATCGCCGAACATTTCCTTCCCCGCATTATTCCACCGGGATCAGCCAACCCCTCACCTCCAACACCATTCAATCGGCCATCCTTCCAATTGGTCAGCGAGTCATTTATAGTGGACGTAGGTTCGGGCTAATATCCGCTGAGATCGTGGGGAAGTCACACAGAGGAGGTCATGTTTTAAACCACCAAGACAAAACCCATTGCAGCATCGACAATCAGCCCAATACCCGCAAGTCATCATGGCACCAAATATTCAGACCATTCCTGTTCCTTCAGCGACAGTTCAATCGCACGCTTCGAATTTGTTGCAACTCCCTGACAAGACTGTGCTCTGTACGTGGTTTGGTGGTTCACAAGAAGGACTGCCTGACATCAGCATCTGGTTGTCCCGATTAGAGCGAGGATCATCGTCTTGGACTACACCACAGAAGATCTCGTTTGATGAGAATAGAAGTTGTCAAAATCCAGTCTTGTTCAGAGCGCCTAATAATGGGGATATCTGGTTGCTTCACACTTCGCAAGACGCGGGCAATCAGGATGGCGCTTATATCCTGAAGCGCACATCTTCTGACCAGGGTCGTACTTGGTCTGAGGCTAGTCGGCTACTGCCTGACGTGACTGGCATCTTTATCAGACAACCCATCGTCATTAATGGCAATGGGACCTGGATCTTGCCAGTTTTCTACTGTCGCACAGAGCCTGGCCATAGATGGATTGGCAGCGACGATATCTCCGGAGTCCTATACTCAGATGACAATGGTGCATCATGGAAAGAGAAGCAAGCATCAGATAGTGTCGGCTCAGTCCACATGAACATCCTTCTCCCAGCATCCGGCGCTTCATCTTGGGTAGCATTCTACCGAAGCCGCTGGGCAGATAACGTCTACCGCTCGACATCCAATAACGGCATCGATTGGGAAACACCAAAAGCAACGACACTCCCAAACCCTAACAGCGGCATCTGTGCAGCTCGCCTGTCATCAGGCCATATCGCCATTGTCTTCAACAGATCCAACGCCTCAGCCGATACCCTCAAGCGACAAGGCTTATACGATGACATCACCCCTGAAGATGATAAGCGACCCAATCAGGTCACAAAGACAGGAAAGGATGCCATTTGGGGAACGCCGAGAAAGACCTTGACGCTTGGAGTTTCGGAGGATAAGGGGCTGACGTGGAGAGAGCGTGTGCTTGAGGATGGAGACGGGTTCTGTGGGACAAATAGTTCTTCGGGGCAAGAGAATAGGGAGTTGAGTTATCCTAGTATTTATGTTGAGAAGGATGGGGATAGGGATGTTGCGCATGTGGCGTATACTTGGCATCGGCAGCATATTAAATATGTGAGGATTGATGATGTTGAGGCATGGGTTAGCTCCAATTAAGAAATAGATCTGAATTATATAAATCACCTAATAATCTTGTTACAAATAGTGTCTGTAGATACCGTAGTTGAAGAGATTTGTACGCCTCTCTTGTTACTTTGGGTTGATAAACCTCATAGCTGACAGCTCACATCACGCGCCTTACACATACGCCTCTCTTGTCTAATAGGCTGTGAAGGTATTGTGGCTCTCTTACAATTTCTATAATACAGTAAATAGGATTGAATAACTTGATGTCTTTACTGATAAACTACAATCTTATGCTTGTTTGTTCAGCTCTATGTATTAATGTTACATATCCTAAACTCTGTTAAATCCCCTGGACTCCATTTCCAGTCCAGCCTGTTTACCCTACGGTAGAAAGTAGCCATCCCCAGATTTCTCCCATACCTGAGATTGATAAAAAGGCCCTTCTAGTTGCTGACTGTGATTTTGCATCCGATGGATGTTTCAGTGCTGGCTCGGTCTGGTTTCCGGTCGAGACATGGTGCAAGATCCGCGGGCCTCCACCCAACCAATAGGATTTCGGACCGCCAGCCCATAACGGCACCAAGGGGACCAGGCATCCAGTGGTCGCCACTAGGGTAACTTGGATCAATGCAGATTATGGAACAAGTGCGACGATGCAAAAGATTGCCACCTTCAGAATATTGTTAAAAGAAGGGATTGTTTGGGTTCAAGACCATAATATCCACATGTACTACAGTATTTGGAAGCATACCCACAAAGTATCAACGCATACGTAATACTTCCTTCTAAAAACACTCACCATGACTCAAACCAAAGATCATATCCTCATAACTGGAGCTGGTGGCTTCATCGGCCAAGAACTCATCACGTCTCTCCTCAAAGCCATGCCCTCCGCTCACTTCACCCTCACCGACATCATCACACCCGCAATCCCCACGGGCGCAGAGAGTCAGGTCACATCCCTCAAAGCAGACCTAACAGACCCATCAGCTGTTACATCCCTGCTATCCAACCGCTTCAGCCACGTCTACATCCTTCATGGTCTCATGTCCGGTGGCGCTGAAGCCAATCTAGATCTAGGCCTCAAGATCAACGTTGACTCAGTGCGAAGTATCCTTGACGTGCTACGGACCGAATATCCTGGTACGAAAGTGATATTCGCTAGCTCGTGCGCTATCTACGGTCAGACAGATCTAGTGACGGAGGTTGGCACTCTTCCTCAGCCCAAAAGTTCATACGGCATTCAGAAATTGCTTGTGGAGCTTTTGATCAACGATTACTCCCGTCGTGGTCTTCTTGATGGACGCATCGTTCGACTGCCCACTGTTATCGTCCGCCCAGGCGCACCATCAGCAGCTGCATCAAGCTTTGCATCAGGCATTGTCCGAGAGTCTCTTCAAGGAGTCCCTAATAGTCTACCTGTTAGCAGAGACCTCGAACTTTGGGT